AGCCATAGGAGAGTACAGAAAAATAATGGCAGTTATATTTGAAATGCTTATATAACTACTTTGGTATGTTAAGTATTCAGAAATGCATTTCTGCTCTATTGTAAGGTACAGCAGTAGAAAAAAAAAAATATGAGGAAACAGCTTGCTTGACAACTGAAGACTGAAAAATTCCTGGCTACTCTGATTAGATTCCTTCTGCTACACATAGAGGGCAGAGATAGGAACTGAACACATAGATCTAAGTTGTTGTGTGTAAACAGTTTAGGATAGAGGCAAGGATGATACCAACAAATAAGCATCTGAATGGCATAATGTATCTGAGAATTGTTGGCTAGAAACCCTTTAGGGCTACTACACAGCTTTAACTAAACATGTGCTTACGTGCTCTGAAACTATAAAGAATTTAAGAAATAAATCAAACTTCACTTACAAAAAGGATCTTTGGCTGTACATAAACAATATACTTCCTGTGAAGGAAACTCTAGACTGCATTTACAGACTGAATCTCAGGGACTATACAGCGAGGAACAGAAGTATTTGAACACCCTGCGATTTTGCAAGTTCTCCCACTTAGAAATCATGGAGGGGTCTGAAATTCACATTGTAGGTGCATTCCCACTCAGACAGAATAAAAAAAAAAATTCAGGAAATCACATTGTATGATTTTTATAGAATTCATTTGTCTTGCACTGCTGAACATAAGTATTTGAACACCTAAGAAACAGCAAGAATTCTGGCTCTCAAAGACCTGTTACTGTGCCTTTAAAAAGTCCACCTCTACTCCACTCATTAATCTAACTTAGTAGCACCTGTCTGAGCACTTTAAAGACACCTGTCCACCCCACAGTCAGTCAGACGCCAACTACTACCATGGCCAAGACCAAACAGTTGTCAAAAGACACCAGAGACAAAATTGTGGACTTCCACAAGGCTGGAAAGGGCTACGGGGCAATTGCCAAGCAGCTTGGTGAAAATAGATCAACTGTTGGAGCAATTGTTAGAAAATGGAAAAGGCTAAAGACGACTGTCAGTCTCCCTCGGATGGGGCTCCATGCAAGATCTCACCTCGTGGGGTATCACTGATAAGAAAGGTGAGGAATCAGCCCAGAACTACAAGGGTGGAGCTGGTCAATGACATGAAGAGAGCTGGGACCACAGTTTCAAAGGTCACTGTCGGTAGAACACTATGCCGTCATGGTTTCAAATCATGCATTGCACGGAGGGTTCCCCTGCTCAAGTCATCACATGTCCAGGCCCGTCTGAAGTTTGCCAATGACCATCTGGATGATCCAGAGGAGGCATGGGAGAAAGTCATGTGGTCAGATGAGACCAAAGTAGAACTTTTTGATCTAAACTTCACTTGTCATGTTTGGAGGAAAAAGAAGGATGAGTTGCATCCCAAGAACACCATCTCTACTGTGAAGCATGGGAGTGGTAACATCATGCTTTGGGGCTGCTTTTCTGCGAAGGAGACAGAAAGACTGCACTGTATTAAGGAGAGGATGAATGGGGCCATTTATTGTGAGATTTTGAGCAACAGTCAGAGCATTGAAGATGGGTCATAGCTGGGTCTTCCAACATGACACCGACCCGAAGAACACAGCCAGGATAACCAAGGAGTGGCTCCGTAAGAAGCATATCAAGGTTCTGGAGTGGCCTAGCCAGTCTCCAGACCAAAATCCAATAGAACATCTTTGGAGGGAGCTGAAGCTCCGTGTTGCTCAGCGACAGCCCCAAACCTGACAGATCTAGAGGAGATCTGTGTGGAGGAGTGGGCCAAAATCCCTGTTGCAGTGTGTGCAAACCTTGTCAAGAACTACAGGAAACGTTTGACCTCTGTAATTGCAAACAAAGGCTTCTGTACCAAATATTAACACTAATTTTCTCAGGTGTTCAAATACTTATCTTCAGCAGTGCAAGACAAATAAATTGTTTAAAAATCATGCAATGTGATTTCCTGAATTTTTTTTTTAAATTCTCTCAGAGTGGGAATGCACCTACAATGTGAATTTCAGACCCCTCCATGATTTCTAAGTGGGAAAACTTGCAAAATCGCAGGGTGTTCAAATACTTCTGTTCCTCACTGTATATTAAAGGCCAAAAAGTAACAAGAAGGTCACAAAATGTATAATAAAACATCTTGAAAGACAGAAATGCAGGGTGTTTTATGTTAAATATCTAAATATATGCCCAGTGTGGAACATACAAAACTATGAGCTGGAGTAAGTTTGCATTTCCTTCTTACAAGTGACTTAAGAATGTTCACTGCCCGTTTAGAATAAGCAATTCATTCAATAAAAGATAGAGGAATGCCAGATGAAACGTACCCTGCCTGCGCAACTCATTTTTTACAGCTTCAACGCCTCCTGTTTTTTTCAATGAAGTCATAAATGACCTTTGAAGTTTCCTTATCCTTAAGTTGCGCTTCAGAGATACCACACAAATCAAACAGTTTTTTCAGTTCTGGATCCAAATTGTTTACCTTTAAATAAAAAAATTTAAAAAATGTTGAAATAAAATATGCATGTACAACAAACTTGTCAAATACACAAATATGAATAAAGGCAATATTGCCTAAACATTCTACTGAATATAAATTGCCACAAGGGAAAAAAAAAAAAAAAAAAAAAAAGCATCAGCTTTATAAAGTACACAGGAACAAACATAGAAAACTATTCCCATGTCCATGTGCCACTAGTTGGCACTTACATGCAGTCAGCAAACCCTTAGAGCAAAATCTACCAGTAGATTGTGGCAAGGTGACTGGTAGATCGTGGTCTGGGCTTGCTGACCCATCGTCCTAGAGCATCAGAGTGCAATGCAGAGGGACTACTTGTAGAGGTGGAGCTGTAGTAGGGAGCAAGAACCACATAAGCCGATGCCTCCTCTGTTGTGCCGACTCCTGTTCCATGCGGAGTGATACCATCTGCACTCCACCTCTTATTCCATCTAGCAGTCTCCAGAGTGGTGCCAGCAGCAGGAAAGAAGAGATCTTCAGGTCCGTGTGAAGCAATGCACTTGGCATAATAGTATAGGGCTGCTTTCACACTAATGTGCTGTGGTTTACCCACACTGTGGGTGCAGTGTATCTACGGCTTCCCTTCAGATGTTCTGCGCTTAGCCATAGAGTTCTATTATATGCTGTGAGTTTTGTGTCCTTTCTGAAAATGCACAAAAAACTCCTGAATGCGGGAGCCAGTGTTCTGTTGCTTTCTCACCACCTGCTTTAAACCCTTGGACCCCGCAGAAGCATGCAATTGCCAGAAACTTGCAGAGTGGCCTCATTTACAGACTGAATCCCTCAACTTTACTTGTTAACAAGTCCTAAGGTGCCGCTGCTGAATGCAACTAAGGCTCATTAACAAGTGCAGCAGGCACTGCTGCTACTCTGAAAAGGGATCTGAGTGTGTTTGATGGGTGGTGAGGAGGCGATATGTTGCCTCACCACCTGATTTAAACCCATTACTGCCATGCAATGCACATGATTGAATCACGGTAGTACGACAAATAGAGGTTTAAATCAGGTGTGAAGAGGAGACACTGTGCATGGTGATCTTGGACTTTTCCCATGTTGCTCAGGTACACCTCCTGTTCACCATGATCATTGAAAGTAAAAATAATCCCAAATTTTGGACTATCCTCGATAACGTAATAGGGGGGAAATCTTCCAATGTGGACACTAGTTCTGGTGACTTGGAGGTCCCCAAGGAATTCCTTTAATTTGCAGGGATAACCTCTCACTTTCTGTTTGGCTATAGGACAGGAAGTGAACGGAAATTTCAGCAATGGGACACAGACGGAGGGAAAAAAAAATCTTATAGGGGTTACAACCCTTCCTTACTCTATCCGAAAATGGAAAAAAATGTCTATAGGTCTACTACCTAATAGTTTATGTATTTTCTACAAAACAATTCAACATATTTTTGAAAAACATGAATTTAGAATCCCATTTAAACTTACATCAAACCCAGTGTTTGGATCCCAGCCCACGTGTCCAATGTGCCTAAAGGGAGAAAAAAATAACCACATGAAGTAAAATGTCAACCCTGACAAGCATGCAGTTCGCATGGTATACCTACCACTGTTTAAATATCACAGGGGGAGATTTAGGCCTCATTCACATGTGAGTTTGGGGCATACTTTGTTGCTTGCTCCTTTGAAGGGAATTGTTGTCAGCCCAAAAACGCACATGGAAATGAGGCCTGACAAAAAGGTGCACATCTTTTTATCTCTTTTGCAATAGTGGATTACAAACCCAATAACACATCTTTTTTCCTTTTAGCATAATTTTTTAACAACTGCATGGACATTTTGTAATTTATACACAATAAAGCAAAATAAGGCATATTTTGTTAATTGCCCTCTGTAAAGGACCATGTTACACTTTTTAGCATATGATGCAACTACAAATGTCTGGGGTGCATTGATCAGCATATCCCATGAAAAACATGAAGTGCTAATGAAGAAATATTGCAGCAATTTCCAAATGCTGCAAAAATTCAAATCTGGTTTAGCTGGGACACAGACCTTTCATCACTGTAAACACCTCAGGACTCTGTTCACACACGTGTGTTTTAAATCATCTTTGATGAACTAATCGCATGTTATGTAGAGCTTATATGGTAATGCACACAAAACACATTGCACAGGTACGAACTGGGCCAAAAGGGAGAAGAATTTTTACTACCCAGACTGTGCTTTTCTTTAACCACAAGCCTACAGGGCACTTATACCCCCTTCCTGCCCAGGCCAATTTTCAGCTTTCAGCGCTGTTGCACTTTGAATGACAACTGCGCGGTCATGCAACACAGTGTACCATATGAAATTATCATTTTTTTGAGACAGAGCTTTATTTTGGTGGTATTTAATCAACTCTGGGTTTTTTATTTTTTCTTAAACCAAAAACCACTGAAAATTTTGAAAAAAAGTTTTAGTTTTTGTTATAAAATTTTGTAAATAAGTGATTTTTCTCCTTTACTGATGTGCGCTAATGAGCCTGCAGTGATGGGCACTGATAGGCTCCATTGATGGACACTGATAGGTGGCACTGATTGACATTGACAGGCATCACTGATGGGCACTGATTTGCAGCACTAATAGGTGGCACTGAAAGACAGCTCAGATGGGCACTGATATGTGGCATTGATGTGCACTGGTAGGCACTGATATGTGGCATTGATGTGGCACTGGCATGTGGCACTGATGAGCACTGACAGGTGGCACTGCTGGGGCTACACTGATCATCAGGGCACACTGATCATCAGTGCTCTGATGATCAGTGTACATGTCCCCTCCGCGGAATGCAGATTACCGGCTCTCCTCTCCTCTCGAGCTGTCAGCGTGACAGCTCGAGAGGAGAGAAATGCCGATAACCGTGATTGGACACAGCTGATCACATGACCGAGCCGACATGTTCGGCTCTTTCCGTGGATCAGTGATCCACTGTGTCTGAGGGACACAGCGCACCGCCGACCGCCACACTGCACGCTCTTGGAGCCGCGCATGCGCGGTTAGCATGGGAGGACATCATATGACGTCCTCCCAGAACAAGAGAACCACCTTGCATCAGTCATATTACTATATGGCGTGCGGGAGGTGGGTAAAGTTTAGCGTGATGCAGAAAGAATTCCACATTGCCTGGCAAAGGGGAGAAGCATAAGGTCAAAATGGCTGTGTCAAACCTGTGCTTATATGCATTTAGAGGATATTTTCAAATACATATCAATGCATGTAACTGTTTTTATTGTACCATTCCCACTGAGCATTTACCTGCGCTCAGCCACCGTAAGTTTAGCTGTGTTTGGGGAAATAGAAATTACAAAAACGCAATAACTGACCCATTGTTATCCTTTACTAAATGGATCACTTATCTATCACACATATTGGCCTTTTCTGATTATATCCTAGTATTGTCTTGTTTACCCCTGGTTATATACATTCACCTGTAATAATTTGTTTTGGAATACCCTATTTTGTATATTTGTACAACTGTACTTTTTCTGTACCATCAATTTATATTGAATAAAAGTTTGTAAACAAAAAGAAATTTCAAACTTAAAAAGCATCTAAATGCTTGTAGACACTTCTAAAAAGGCAAGAAAAGGAAATTTGTTTATACCTCCCAGATGACTTCAACTGAACATAGAAAAGCTAAAACACAAGGTGCCAATGTGATTGAAAAATGGTCATTATTATGGATGCAGGATCAGAAAAAAAGAGGATTTTCAACAAATTTGGCTCCATGAACACTGGCTTAAAAAAACAAAAACAAAACCAAGCATTCTCATTTTGAGTGTTCTTGTACCAGTGTTTACAGTTTTGTCTAAAAAAAAATGCTCTCAAAAACGTACAAGAAAATGTGAATGGAAATTTTAGTTTTCTATACCACTCCCAGAAGCCATCAAAAAAATTTTTTTCAAACCCAGCAACACACAATCAAACTCCCAAAAAAAGGTAAACTAATAAAAAACAATGTGAAGCATGAAAATCCAGTGCTGTGAAGAGAGCTGTGAATATTGGGAAGATAGAATGGGTGTACTGTAAGGCCAAGCACAGGAAAGCTAATGATGTGAGATCTTCATTCCACTGTGTTCGCCAGACACAGCAGTCGCAGGTGGGGAGCGCTGCGTGCTCCTGTGTTAGTACAGCCAGAGCGACGTACCCAGGAAGCGGTTAATAACATTACAAAAATTGTCCATGAGTTTGCTTCACACTAAAAATGTACTTTGTGTAGCCAGCTTTAGGACCCATGCATATAGGCAGAGGGCCATACACCATCAAGGAGAGTATTTCTGCAGCCCTTCTTGACAGTGTACTGCTGTCCACACCCATGTACAGAAGCCCCAACTCCTCAGGTCACTACCCCTAAGGTTCAAAAGGCATGCAAGAGGCCATTTATGTCAACTGGAAATATGTTTCCTCAACAGAAGTGAGGGGAGAGGGGGGGGCAACAACACTATTAGCTGCTTACAATGTCACTCCTTCACAGTTCACACCTCCAATTATTGTCTGCTTCACAGAGGACAATGGGTAACCACTTGAGACCACAGGCCTAAAATACCCAAGTCTCCATTTTTTTCCCTTGAACTTTGGCAATGCCGCAGTTCTACACATTGTAACCTTCAACATTTATAGTCTACTCTAATGTAGAATGCATAATTTTATTCTGGGACACATAGCTTCAGTTTGGTAGGAAACTTGGACAAACATTTTTATTTTCTTGGCTTTAAAAGGGAATATATAGTAAAAGAAAGAAAGACAAAAAAAAAAAAAAAAAAAGTGCCTTTTCCTGGAATTTTTTTTCAATGCTTCCTTAACGTAATTTGCACCCCTACCCCCCAAACATAACTGCAAAAAATAATCAACATAGTCTGCCGATTAAAATTTTAGCACATTAGTGTGACTTATGTAGTGGAACATCAAAATGAAAGTATGCGTTTTACATTAGGAGAGCTTTATTCTGCTTTCAATGCTACATTGCCTTACAAGTAGACAAAACAATTTGCATAAAATGTTAGCATAACATTGAGATAAGATTAAGTCACATTGACGAGGGCACAAAATAGCAAGATGGCTTTTTTTCAGGTTTTTGAGCACTACAAATTTACATGGCATTGCATTACTTGAGCATTTGACGTTTGCTCAGTAAAAACGGAAAAGTCATCCAGATCACCCAACATCATTGTCAGGAATTAATTTTTTTTTCAGAGATATAATGTGCATAGATATACAAGTACATTCCTAATGTATTCAGACCCCCTTCAATTTTATTATATTGCAGCCTACATTTGTAGAAAGCATTTTTTCTCATTAATCTACTGTCAGTACCCCGTAATGAAATAGTCAAAACAGAATTTTAGAAATGTCTAACGTTTAAAAAAAGAAAAAAAAAAAAAAAAAGTACTTAAATGTTCAGTATTTTGTTGAAGCACCTTTGGCAGTAATTACAGCCTCGAGTCTTCTTGGGTATAACGCTATAAGCTTTGCACACCACAATTGGGGGATTATCTCCCATTTGCCTTTGCAATTCCTCTCAAGTTCAGTCAGGTTGAATGGGTACCGACCGTGGACAGCCATATTCAGGTCTCGGGTTCAAGTCAGGGCTCTGGTTGGGCCACTCTAGAACATTCACAGAGTTGTCCCTAAGCCACTCCTGTGTTGTCTTTACTGTGTGCTTAGGATCGCTCTCATGTGTTAAAAGGAAAACCTTTGGCTCAATCTGAGGTCCTGAGCACTGTGGAACAGGATTCATTGAGATCTCTGTACTTTGCTCCATTCAGCCTTCCCTCAATCTGTCTCCCAGTCCCTGCTGCTGAAACCCCCACAGCATGATGCTGCCACCTCCATGCTTCATTGTTGGCATGGTATTGGGCAGGTGATGAGTAGTGCTTGGTTTTCTTTCAGACAACGTTTAGAACTGAGGCCAAACAGTTCAATCTTGGTTTCATCAGACCAGAGAATCTTGTTCCCCACAGTCTGATAGTCTTTCAGATGCTTATTTTGCAAATTCCAAGCGGGCTTTCATGTGTTTTGAACTGAAGAAACGCTTCTAACCACTCTGCCATAAAGCCTAGATTGGTGGTGGGCTGCAGTGATGGTTCTTCTTGAACCTTGTCCTGGTTGTGCCATATAACTTTTCATTTGAGAATTATGAAGGCCACTGTGCAGCAGAAGTTTTTTTGTAGCCTTCCCCAGATCTGTAGCTGGCAATAATCCTATCTGAGAGCTCTGCAGACAGTTTCTTTGACCACATGGCTCTTGCTCAGCTGTGAGGCCTTTTATAGAGAGGTATGTGTGCCTTTAAAAATCATGTCCAATCAATTTAATTTACCACAGGTGATGATCAAGAGAAATGGGAGCCACATGAGCTAAATTTCAAGTGTTCTTGCAAAGGGTCTGAATACTTATGCCAATGTGATATTTCAGTTTTTCCTTTCACATACATTTGCAAACATTTCCAAAATTCTGGTTCATTTAGTCATTAACGGGGTACTGAGGGTAGATGTAGTATCAGACTGCAATATAACAAAATTGAAAACACATACACACACACACTAAAATAAACAAACACGTTACCATTTTTCTCGGTAAATATATTCTAAAAAGGTGATATTGACATGAAATTTTCACGTCTGTAACAACCCATGCAATCCATACAAAGTAACCAAAACAAAAAGAAGTTCAGAAATTAAGTTATGTGTAATAAAATGGAATGATACATGGAAACAGTATTGAACACACTAACTGAAATGTATTTAATACTTCTTACAAAATCCTACGTTGGTAATGACAGTTCAAGATGCCTCCTGTATGGAGAAACTAGCTGCATGCATTGCTCAGGTGTGATTTTGGCCCATTCTTCCCACACAGTCTTCAAATCTTGAAGGCTCCGGAGGCCTTTTCTATGAACTCTGATCATTAGTTCTTTCCAAAGATTCTCTTTAGAATTCAAGTCAGGTGATTGGCTGGGCCATTCTAGCAGCTTTATTTTCTCTCTTTGAAACCAACGGAGAGTTTCCTAAGCTTAGTCTTGCTGAAATGTGAACCCTCATTTCATCTTCATCATCCTGGTAGACGGCAGCAGATTTTTATCGAAAATGTCTTGGTACATTTTTCCATTCATCCTTCTTCAATGATATGAGGTTTGCCAGTACCGCATGCTGGAAAAACAGCCTCACATCATAATGTTCCCACCTCCAAACTTCACTGTAGGTATTGTGCTTTGGGGTGATGTGCAGTGCCATTTGATCTCCAAACATGGTGGGTATTATGGCATCCAGAGAGTTCAATTTTAGCCTCATCTAACCAGCCTATATTCTCCCAGTATTTCACAGGCTAGTCTAAATGTGCTGCAAACTTTAAACAAGCTTCAACGTGCTTTTTCTTCAGCAATGGAGTCTTGCGTGGTGAGCGTGCATACAGGCCATGGCGGTTGAGTACATTACTCCGTTTCCTTTGAAACAATTGTACCTGCTAATTCCAGGCCTTTCTGAAGCTCTCCACAAGTGGTCCTTGGCTCTTGGGCAACTCTTCTGATCTTGCGAGGAGCACCTGGTCATTGCCGGTTTATGGTGAAATTATGTTCTATCCACTTCCGGATTATGGCACCAACCGTGCTAACTGGAACATTCAAAAGTTTAGAAAGCCTTCTGTAACAAATGCCATCAGTATATTTTGCAACAATAAGGTTGAAAAAGGTCTTGAGTGAGCTCTTTGCTTTTATCCATCATGAGATGTTCCTTGTGTGACACCTTGGTAATAAGACACCTTTGCATATGCCATCAGTTGAGACTGAATCAACTGATATTAATTTGCACTGACAAGTGGCAGGATTGCTAATTACTGATAGATTTCAGCTTGTGTCTTGGCTTTCCATGCTTTTTTGCACCTCCCTTTCTTCAAATGTTCAATACCCTTTCCCTATGCCATTCCATTTTATCACACACAACTTAAATTTCT